CACCTGTAGTCTCAGCTACTCGGGAGGCTGAGGCAGGAGAATCACCTGAACCCAGTAGGCAGAGGTTGCAGTGAGCCGAGAGGGCGCCACTGCACTCCAGCCTGGGCGACAGAGTGAGACTCCATCTCAAAAAAATAATAATAAATAAATAAATAAATAAAGCCCTGGTTGGTCAGCACACCAGCCTGGGTCTCACTCTGGAGTGGGCTATGCAGACCTCCCAGGCACAGAGGTGGTGTCAGGGGCAGCGCGGCTGACCCCACCTGACCCCGTGCCCACCAGGTCTTCCTGAAGGAGACGGAGCGGCAAGCCCTGCAGGAGACGCTACACCGGGAGGTGGTGCGGAAAATCCTGCTGCTGCAGAGCTGGTTTCGGATGGTGCTGGAGCGTCGGCACTTCCTGCAGATGAAGCGGGCCGCTGTCACCATCCAGGCCTGCTGGCGGTCCTACCGGGTCCGGAGGGCTCTGGAGAGGACACAGGCCGCGGTGTACCTCCAGGCCGCATGGAGGGGCTACTGGCAGCGGAAGCTCTACCGGCGCCGGAAACAGAGCATCATCCGCCTGCAGAGCCTCTGCCGGGGGCACCTGCAGCGCAAGAGGTGAGCAGAGCCAGGCCACGCTCCCCAGAATATTCCAGAAGCCAAAAGGGTCACTCACCAAATTGCTGCCCATGATATACCATCTGGCCTGTGGCACTAAGGGGATGTCATTCTGGACACAGGGAAGGGTCGGTGGGAAACTAGATGCCTGGACACACATGGGCTACAGAGAAGGGCTCTGAGGCTGGCAGGCAGCACTCAGGGACAAAGCTCTGCTTTGCCATTGGCTGCACCCATTCTCTGCCGAGGGACTCCCCTGTACCTGGATCGGTCAGGGAACACCTGGATTCAGGGTTGGAGGGACCGCCTGGACCAGCCCAACACTCAACATGGAGCTGGGGCATCCACCAGGCACAGAGAACCCCCCAGCAGGATATCAGCAACTCCCGTCCCGGCACCCACAGCTACAAGCCCAGCCCCTCCCTGACCTAGGCACCCTGTGCACCTCTCCCCTGCCACACAGACCCAGCTCTGCCACAGGTCACATCCCAGCTCCCAGAGCAGGCCCTACCCACATGTGCAAATAAGCCTCCTAGGCCAGGTGCAATGGCTCATGCCTGTAATCCCAACACTTTGAGAGGCTTAGGTGGGAGGATCACTTGAGCCCAGGAGTATGAGACCAGCCTGGCCAACATAGCAAGATGCCATCTCTACACAAAATTAAAGAGTTAGCTAGGTGTGGTGATGCACACCTGTAGCCCCAGCTATTCAGGAAGCTGAGGCAGGAGGATCACCTGGGTCTGGGCTGTGGTGGCTGCAGTGAGCTATGATCACACCACTGCACTCCAGCCTGAGTGACAGAGTCAGACACTGTCTCTAAAAACCAAACAGGTTGGGCGTATCGGCTCACACCTGTAAGGCCAGCACTTTGGAAGGCCAAGGCAGGCAGATCACATGAGTTTGAGACCAGCCTGGCCAACATGGCAAAACCTCATCTCTACTAAAAATACAAAAATTCGCCAGGCGTGGTGGTGTATGTCTATAATCTCAGTTACTGGGGAGGCCGAGGCACAAGAATCACTTGAACCCAGGAGGCAGAGGTCGCAGCGAGCCAAGATGGTGCCACTGCATTCCAGCCTGGATGACAGAGTGAGACTTTGTCTCAAACATAAAATAAAATAAATAAAAATAAAAACAAAACAAAAAGCCTCCTAGAAAAAGACTCAAGGGAAAGCCCACAGTGGACCCCAAACGAGTTTGAGGCTTCTTAACAGAACCCACCCACCACAGCCCCAACAAGGGTCCTCTCCCCTAACAAGGCAGCCAGGCAGACACAGGGCAGGAGTATCTGTGACACTGAGGGGGCACCACCCTCAGCCTCCTTTCCTGATCGAGGAGATTCCTGCTTTCCAGAAACATCTCTCAGGGCCACTAGGCACAGGCGAAGCCCCGTCTGCAGCCCACAGGCTGGGGGTCCCATCGGAACTCAGTGGGAGGTGGAAGGAAGGTTTGTTTCTGAACCAGCTGTCTGCTTTTTCCTCACTCCAGCTTCAGCCGGATGATCTTGGAGAAGCAGAAGGCAGAGGAGAAGGAGAGGGAAGCCCTGGAAGCCGAAAGAGCAGGCGCTGAGGAGGGCGGGCTGGGTCAGGCGGCCGGCGGGCAGCAGGTAGCTGAGCAGGGGCCAGAGCCGGCAGAGGATGGCAGGCACCTGGCATCAGAGCCTGAGGTGTGGCCAAGTGACAGGTCCCCGCCAGAGCACTCCTCACCTGAGAAGGAGGCCCCAAGCCCAGAGAAGACTCTCCCGCCCCAGAAAACCGTGGCCGCTGAAAGTCACGAGAAAGTCCCCAGCAGCCGGGAGAAGCGTGAGTCGCGTCGGCAAAGAGGGCTGGAGCACGTCAAGTTCCAGAACAAACACATTCAGTCCTGCAAGGAGGAGAGCGCCCTCAGAGAACCTTCCAGAAGGGTCACCCAGGAGCAAGGGGTGAGTCTCCTGGAAGACAAAAAGGAGAGCAGAGAAGATGAAACCCTTCTAATCGTAGAGACGGAGGCTGAGAACACGTCCCAAAAGCAGCCCACAGAGCAACCCGAGGCCATGGCAGTTGGCAAGGTCTCTGAAGAAACCGAGAAGA